ATCATACATTCCGCTTTTTCACAAGCTTGGTCATATGCCCGATTGCGCACTAAGCGTTGCCTGAGGTTTGCGAGAGGTATCTCCACAACTCTTAAGTGGTCTGAAGATCTGACTGTTCACGCACACCCTGATCTCGCTGCTTAACTAGTCTTAAATGGAAGGCAAATAGAATGGCACCTTGTCACTATCAGCATTACTAGGCAGCTTGTTTGTACGCTTTTTCCATCCTTTGCAAGTTTGTAAGCATTAACCGCTGCTATGTTGAGAGCCTCTTAAGTTGTTTTCTGCTTCAGCGTATCGTCAGAAGATAACGCTTTAGCCGTGAGAAATTGCTAATAATGCTACGCTTTATGCGTATAGGGTGGGCATAAGAGTAGTGCACCAGAAAACAGAGGCTAGTGATCTTCATTCTGCGAAACAGATACGTAATAGTGACATAATAGTGCGAAAAGTTTCACTTTTCAGTGACGTCACCTCGAGATATGCAACGATCCTAGCTAGCTAAGAGAGCTTCAGTAAACCAAGTAGCTTGATATTCCCCTGTATCTTTTTCTGCCACAATATGTTTTGCTCTTGTCATGGAAAATGTCGGGGAACGTAATGTCAGGCATAGTAAGAAGGAAAGAAAGGACTGTTAAGGGATGATAAAAACAAACTAAAAATGCATGAGCTTGCATGCGTAACGCAACAATGCAAATTCATTTCTAATCTAACCAGCAATAAGACAGTGAAACGAATTTGTTTACAATAATACGCTTATCGCCTAAGACATTCGGTATCTATTGAACAATTCCACTTTCTTTTTCTACTGTTCTGTTCAGCACTTTATTGTAGACTTCTAGAATAGCTGGCATATTCGACTGCGCTCGTTTGGTTCAAAAAACTTAACTGCAGAAACACGTGTCGGGCCAACTTATAAAGAGATTATTAAACACCCTCTCACAACAATCTCTCGCAAAGTGATCTGCTACGGCAAGAAATCGACCAATTTAAAAAAACCGCAATCACTGTATTATCCTCTGCATTGCTATTTTACATTTGTATGCTGATTTCAATCATTCTAAAGCAAAAAATGCAATTTAATTGATAATCTTCCTAAATGTTATCGTATAACGTGTCGAGTCACCCTTATAGACAACTGAGG